CTATAACTTTCTGCATACTTTATGTTTGAACCTCCTGAGCCATCATTGACATAAATTTTTATAGGCTTCCACCCTTTGTTCATGTTCCTGCTTCTTCCCTTAGCTCTTTTGTTCAGTAGTTCTACATCTTTATACACAGCACCTGTCTCAGTGAATTCAACAATATTTTCATTCGTTAGCTTTACATTCAAACCCTTGTCGAGTGTATTGTTCATTTCATACATATAAAAGGTTTTTATTCTATATGAAATGAGAAGCAAATCCATCTTAGCTGGTGCCGTTAATGTTCCAATTGAACCAACATCAAATGTTGACTCACGAACGACAAACAATATTGTCATAAAGAACTATAGTTCGGAGTGTTTGAAAGAAAAAGAACCAGAACTGAAATCCGTGAATTTAAACACAGCTTCAAACGCTAACGCTACATCAGATGTTAAGTTAGAGTATCCACCACTGGACCAAATTCTTTCAAGAGAAGCCAACGACAACCCTTACACAAATGTTCAAACAAATCCTTCAGATAACGTAGACCATTACCTTCTTCAGTTATACCAAACAATTTTACTCAAAGACGATAAGAAGCTTTTGACAAATCTTATAAGTAAGAACCAAATAATTCTAACAAAGGAGGACCTTGAAAATGTTATATCACGAATAACAGGGAAACAATGTGTCATTGACTATCTCGACCCTGAAATCGAATGCTGTGGTCAAACGCCACCATTCATGAAAATAGGTAACATCCGCATCATTGAAACACCAGGAACTACAGGAGTTGAGTTTAAGTATAAATATTCGAACGAGTATACAAAACTTTCAACAGAATATAAACTTTGTTTGAAATATGTTTTAGTAAATTAAAGCAATTTGTAATATCTATCCAAAACTTCTTCAACAGTATCGAACTCATCTTCATAATGCAAACCTAATCTTATTGACTTGGTGCAGTTTTCACTAACACAATATAGCGCTTTGCGCTCGGCGCCTTTGACGCCTTTTTCTGTTCTCTTGACTGACATAACTAATTCATTTGTTTCATCAAACAGCAACAACCAAAGTTCATGACCTAATACATAACATTCATACTTTATATTTTTAGCTCTGAGTTCTCTTGTAAGCTGTTGCATTTAATATTTTCTAAAAAGTCAACTTCAACAGTCATTCGCACTGGTGCCTTCAGTTCTACAGGCTCCTTGAAAGTCAACAAGTCTGAATTGCATGTCTTTCAAATTATGAGGACTAATGCGAACCCATTTACCTAAATGAGTTGCTATGACAGGAACGTTTGGAATGAACATTGAATTTGACTCATAACAGAAAGACTTATATTCTACTGAACCTTTACTATTAACTCCTGAAATACCTGTGACATTAGCTATTTTTGACTCAATGTACAATTACCATAACATACGTATGGAACAGATTTCATCTCAATCGTTTTGTCAACACTTTTCAAAGGAAATGTCATATGGTATGCTCCCAGAAGCAATTGAACTCTATGACTCATTCGTGTTATCTTAAACTCCTTCACATAACTGAACTTCAAAACTCCTGCAATAAGTTTAACATTCATTAAGTTTTCTTCGTTATCCTTGTTTATTGTAGTATTTATGAGAGCATTTAACACTCCAGCTAATGTTTCCATCTTATATTCTACATTATTGTGAAATCTTATTTCGTGCTTCTTTCCATCTATTTCAATCTCCATGAAATCTGTTTCATCTGTTATAACGAATGAAGCGATAGTATTGAAGTCAACCATTCTGAATGCAAGTGGCTCATTCTGTAGACCTAAGTTTGTTTGTAGCTTTACTGTCCCGTATTCGTTTGGGTCTGTACTTTGCAAATAGAACAACATTTTATTCTCATTAAAATATGACAATTGCTGCATATGCGTATGAAGCTGACAGAGCTAAACGTTTATATTTTGGTCAATACTCTCTCACACTTACTGACAAATATATTGTTATTTCTGATGGAAATACCGAGAAATACATAACATGGAAGGACTATGAAAAGTTTGACCCTATTTTAACTCCATGTACAATGCCATTCATTGTAAATGGTGAAGTTGTCATGAAGAACGACACAACAGTATATAAGTCTGTATATGAAGCGTTAGAATATATGTTGAATTATAATCCCGAAAGATTTGACCCAAGCACTACACCATGTGCAATGCCTTTTATTAAGGACGGTGAAATCGTAAGAGTTCCGGATTCAACGGTTTATACTGCTGTTCAAAACAGTTTACAAAACATTTTAGCGAATATCTTTAATTCAGAAACTACAGAAATAAAATTACCATATATAACAGATGCTAAAGAAATTAAATCAAAAACGACAACATTATTTACGTCACTTAATGATTTAATGACTTATATCATTAATATTCCTGCACCAACTACAGCATTTGATCCAAACTCGACGGTTTGCAGTGTACCTTTCATAAAGTCGCAAACGGACTCTTTGAGTCCTGAAGGTCTTTCAGACCGAAGCGACCAGGGCGAAGCCCATGACAGTTCATTAATTGTTTTAAGGGATTCAACAGTTAATGAATCATTAAAGGCGTCATTAATGAAAATCATTGATTTTAACTCATTCACGAATACATATAATTCATTCATTAATGTTTCATATGCTTCTAAAGAAGGTGAGCCAAAAACTATCGATAAAGCGGTGTATGAAATAAAAGCATCAACGACGAAATTGAATTCGTTAACTTTTGACGGTGATAGTTTCGTTAATGACATAACATCGGGGAAAACAATTTTAACGAAAGAATATTTAAAATCTCATGTTAGTGAGTTCGTTGAAATTGAAAAAGAAGGTGGAATTAAGTTCGATCCACTGAATTTCATTTTCAGCTTAGCGAATGCGGGTGTTAGTTTCGCTGAATGGACAACTATACAGAGTGAAATAAATGCAATATGGACGTTTTTGGGGTCAAAAGCGGGAATGGGTGAGCTTGTAAATGCTGCAAGAACATTAGGTGAAACAGGAAATTTTGTAGATGGTTTTAAAAGACTTGTTTCAAATGTTTTAACAAACACAAAGAAATTATTTAGATATACCATACATAACGGACGGATTTTCGAACAGGTAGCAACAAACCCTCCGGTTATGGCTGCGTTGATGATGGTTAGAGATATAAAACCACGTAACGACGGGAACGAAGAACATGAACAACAGAGCCCAACGGGCTCAGAGCCACATAGTGGCGAGGATACTGGTCGGGTTATTCAAGACATTAAAAACGTGTATCCTGAAGTTATTGATTTATTTAGAGGAGTTAATGATTCAATTTCAAAACATTCTATAACCCTCGATGAAGAGAATAAATTAACAGATTATATATTCGTCATTATTGCAGAATTAATGAAGAGAATAAATGAAAAAGGAATTGGTGATATCATTAATGTCAGCGATGTAATGATGAAAAGAAATTTTGACTCATTATTTACAAAACCGAAAACAGAATATAGTCTTTATGACGTAATTACCGAATTAATGAAAAAGATTAATGATAATAAGAGTTCTGGCGGAAGAGTTGAATTAGAAGTGAATGATGTTAATGAGAAATTAGCCGAAAAAGCAGATAAAAACCACGTTCATTATATAACTTCAGACGAACAGATTATAACGGACTACCATGGATATTTAACACGAAGTGATGAAGCGAAGACAAAAAATGTTAATGAAAGAAGATATAAATACATTCGTGCTAAAGGTTATGACATAAGCTGTACTGTACAGTATGATGTAGCTAAAGCACCAGAAGCATTTGGTTATACGGTGAAATTTATGCCTCTACTTTCAATGTTAATGGTGTATTAGTTGAACCAAGATTTACTTTGAGAGTTAAGTCAAAAATAACGTTTGAAGATGCTATTAAAAGTAAAGCTGACAAAGTTGAACTCGAAGCAATGAACAAAGTTTTGAAATCTCATAAACACAACATCTCCGATATAAATGAACTTCAAACTTCTTTAGACAGTAAAGCCGACAAGAACCATACACATAAATCCTTCACTACTGTTAGAGCAGACGACATAATATTGAACTTTGACCTTGGTTCAAGTGCACCTTTAGAGAATCCAAGTACAAGCGTAAAAGATACACTAAACTCCTTAAATAGTAAATGTATGAACATTGAAAGTCATGCCAGAAACTTTGAAGCACATGAACTACCAGCAATGTTAGATAAAAAAGCAGATAAGAACCATACACATGATTTCTTCACAACTGTTGGTATAGAAAGTATTGAAGGAACGGTTGAAGAAACTGGTGGGGAGGGCGGAGCCCCGCCGCACGCGGCTGCATTATATTGGAAACCTCCTAACTTTCCACAAGGTTTAACATCGGATGACGACATAACGACGATGAGAAACATTAGATGTAAAGATGTTTATGTCATGGAGGATGAAAATAATGTTAAATTCACTGCTCAAGATTTATATGACAAGAAAGCTGACAAGAACCATACACATAAATCCTTCACTACTGTTAGAGCTGATGACATAATATTGAACTTTGATTTGGGTTCAAGTGCACCATTAGAAAATCCAAGTACAAGCGTAAAAGATACTCTTAACAATTTAGATAAGAGTTGCAGGAATACCGAAGATCATGCCAGAAACTTTGAAGCATATGAACTACCAGCAATGTTAGATAAGAAAGCTGACAAAACTTATGTGGATACAGAACTAACAAAGAAATTTTCGAAACCAGATACAATGACATTTACAACAGAAATTATAAATGGTGAACCAGCAACTCCATTTGAATTTGTTAGAGGTCTTCAACCAGATACTTTTGAATTTTTCTTGGATAATTCTATTGAACTAACATTACATTATAAAAGTGGAACAAATGCAACATTTCATCCGGGAGATACATTCCAAATGGTATTTAATGACATAAGTTCTTTAGAATATGTTTATAGAGTTATGAGCATATATGATTTAATATATCCTATAGGAGCTGTTTATACGTCTATGAATCCAATAAATCCAAACACTTTATTTGGTGGTAGATGGTATGAAATAGTTGACAGTTTTCCATTCTACACTAATACGCAGTCAATGAAGATGGGAGGTTCAAAGAAAATAGGTATTGAAAACCTTCCTTCACATATGCATAGGTTCAGTGGAAGAACATCTGTGGAAGGAAACCATTCACATTCAATAACAAAAAGAGGTTATATAAATCTTGCAGCGGGTTCGGATAGACAGGGAATGAACAGATATGATATCTCAGATGACCCCAAAGATTCAAGCACAGGTATTTTCTGTGGAACTGCAGGAAATCATACACATGTTGTAGCTGGTATTACAGACCCAGCAGGTAATGGAAAAGATTATATGCCTCCTTATATAACAATGCACGCTTGGATACGAGTTGGTTAAAATCTTTAACTTTACATAAATGAGCTTGAAAGAAGTATTCGAACAACATCCATGGAGGTCATTTAAGAAGTTCAATGAAGCTGCAAAGAGTCGGGGATTTACTAACAGAGCTGAAGTGAAAAGGTTCTTTGACAAAAATGTTGTACATCAAACAAAAATAAATCCTTACGACTACTTTTTACCAATTTACTCCAACACTCCTGACGCATACCAATTTGACACTCTCATTCAAAGCAGAAAATGTGGTCATAAACCATTCCTCATCTTCATTAATGTTAACACTCGTAAAGCTTTTGCGTATATAATGAGAAATAAAGGAACTCATGAAGTGTTAAGAGTTTTACAAAAGTTTGTAGCAGAACATAGCCCAAGTACTTTAACATCAGACCAAGACAGTGCATACCTCAGCAATGAAATCACAGAATTTCTCATTAAGCATAACATAACTCACTACACTACTGAAGACCATAACCATAACATACTCGGCATCATTAACCGCTTCATAAGGACTCTCAGAGATTTAAATCAAGAGCGAGACTTTACCGAAGAAACAATGAAACATTTTCTCGAAGTATATAATTCCTCAACACATTCTACAACAGGACATACACCAAATTCAATGACACAACAACAAGAAGAAAAGTATATACAAAAGAAACGAAGTCAAACGCAAAATATCAGAAATTCAACACAATTTACCCTCATTCCTGGTACAAAAGTTCGTGTAGTTCTTGACGACAAACCGTTGACAAAGAAACGTTTAAGGTTAAGTCGAAATTATTATATCGTAGACTCTACGCAAGGTAATGGATATCTTATAAAAGCTGCCGACGACTCTATTGCGTTTTATCCTCGTCATAAATTAGTCGAAAGTAGTAATGGCAAACTTGCTGAAACCATTGACGAAGCAAAGCGAGGAGTGGTTATTGAAATACTTGACTACAACATAAACGATGACACTTATAAAGTAAGATATGAAGGAGGCGTTGAAGATGTTATACCATCTAAGAACTTGAGAGAATCTAAACCAACTCATCTGGGACCATTAGAGCGGGAGTACTGGAAAGATAAAAACATGCCAGAAAGAATAAGAAAATTCTTCTAAACTTTTTCATTGGATGTAAATCAGACATGAATGAGAACAGTCATGATATCATTAATGGTACCATTTATTTTTGTCATAAATTTACACCAAAAATAAATTTAGGTGAAGTGGTGACATCTCACCTCTTTTCTCACCTCTTTTCTCACCTCATGAATTTTCATGAATTTTATATATTAATGTTTTGTCATGATTTCATCGTAAATGTTTTGTCGAAACTTCTTCTTCGTAATGAGCGTAAATGACCCAAAAATAAATTTAGGTGAAGTGGTGACATCTCACCTCTTTTCTCACCTCTTTTCTCACCTCATGAATTTTCATGAATTTTCCCGAAATAAAAAATAACGCTAATTTTATTTTTATTTATTTTTTTATTTTGTATAAAAGATATGATTTCAACAATCGGCACAACAACAATTCAAGCCGCGAACGGCGGGACTCTGTCCACAACAACAGCACCAAACTCGTTAGTCATGAATCCTACGTCAATGTTAGTAGAGATGAAAAACTTCATTCCTTCTTCATATACTTTCGAAACAAAAATCCAGAAGATAAAGCAAGAACTTTTAACAAGTAATTTAGACTGTAGTGCGAAAGATGAAGAAAATGAAGAATATCTTTATGAAATGCAGGACATTATTGACCATTTACCCAAATTGCCTGAAATCCAACAACAAAAACTCACTATTCCCGAATTCGACGAAATTGAAGTGAAACCAACTGATTCAGTAGAAATAAAGAAGTTCATACGAAAGGTAAATTATGAATTCCTTGGTTTTCATTGCAACCATAAAGTTATGGACAAAGATTGCGACATGGTATATAAAAACATTTCTGACATATATAAATCTGAAGAATTTAAGACCTACGATAACTTTGTTTCGTTAGTTGCAGAATGTGTTTGGGAAATAAGAGATAAAGATAGAAGAGGTAAGGTATGGAATGAACAGATAAGACCCGCTATGTTTGAGTTAAAGAAAACCATTGACGCCTTAGTTGTTTTAGCAGGTAAGGTTTCAGAATATAACGCAAAAATGAACCGCAATGTTCTAAATGTAAAGCAGCAATGAGGAAATATAACTACTCAGTCAAAGAGATAGAAAGAATGAGAAACGACTATGCAGACTTAAAGAAAGAAGCAGAAAAGCCAGCAGAAGATAAAATGGACATGTTAGCATTTCTGAACAAAAACTATCCAACAGCAGAAGATTTCCTTCTATCTGACGTCAAGAAGAAGTATAAAGAGACTTTCGGCATTGTTAAAACTTTTGATATACTGACAGAAGAAATAGAAGCTACGAAATTGTTTAGGATTTCAAATATACATCGTACAATTCATGTAAAACGTTTATAAAATAACTAGGGTGAAAAAACAGGTGAAAAAACAGGTGACATCTCACCTCTTCACCTAAACATTATTTTTACTGAATTCAGCAACAAAATTCTGAGTAAAATAATTTTTAGGGCTTGTGTCAAACCGTTGAGTTTTCACAAAATTTAAAAAAATAACGTTTACCATGTGAAACGTTTATAAAATAACTAGGGTGAAAAAACAGGTGAAAAAACAGGTGACATCTCACCTCTTCACCTATAATATATTTTTGGTCAAAGCTTCCACGAGAGAAAAGATTCCTCATTCGCTAAGGATTCCAAAAATGAAAAAATCATTGATTTCGGTTGAGAAAAAACAGCAAAACCCTTCTTCCACGGGAACAAAGAAATAAAGAAGAAATAAAGAAGAAATAAAGTAAATTTTTTATTTATTCCCGTGGAAGATAGAGCACTTTTATGATACTTTTTATTCACGACAAACAAGACAAATAAAGAAAATAAGAAAATACGGCGCTGTCGCGGTTCGAACCACAGACCCTGACCCCTCCATAACACCACCTTAGACCACTGTGCTACGTAGCCTGTCGACATAAGATTTTATAAATTGCATATTTGACGTAAATTTATTTCCATCTGGCTTCCCACTGCATAAGATATTCATACGTGTTTGTAAGACATTCATTAAACTTCTTTTCTATTGCATCTAATCTTGCGTTATTTTTTTCAATAACTTGTCTGTATTCTTCATCATCTCCAGCAGTGTTTGGGTCTTCACGTTTAAAATATTCATTGTTAACCAATTTTTTATCTACAAATTTTATTAGTGTTTGATTCACTTCGTTATGATAACGGTCATATTCTTTCAATACGTAAGTGAAGACAAAATGCGTCGTACCTTCAATCTTAAAGCTTAAAGAACTTTCAACACAGTTTTGAGGGTCTGTCAGTGCGTCAATGAGATAGTATTCGAAGTCAGTCAATAATCTTTTTAAAGTCATTTCATACAGGATAAAATTTAATGTTGTGAAGAAATAGTGTTTATCTCAGAAAAAATAAAGTTAGTTTTTATTTTATTTATTTTTTTATTTTGTATGTAAAGACAGAATGTCAACAACAGAGAACACAACAACTGCTATCGTTCATGAAGTCATAAATGAAGAATACGAATACATACAATATAACAAACAATTGAGACTCATTCGTTCAGTCAAAGATGACATGTACCAAATGCAAAGTATAATGAACGCTCTTCGTTCTACAAAGCAAGCATATCATTGGTTTGAAAACCAACAGGCAAAAGAACTTTTAGAAGAATTTCCTCATATGATTGCTTCCCTCGGAAAACCGAGGGAAGAGATTCCGTACGAAAATCGCAAGAATTTGGCTCCTGGTTTGAGAGGATATTATGTTCATAGACTTTTAGTAAATGCTGTAGCAATGTGGCTTCACCTCGTTATGCTTGTTATATTTTCATGATGTTAGATGAACTATATAAAGCAGAACGTGGAGAGATGGAAAAGAAACTTCAAGCAAAAGATGAAGTCATTGAATCCAAAGACAAAAGCATACAGAAAAGAATACCACGTTCAGTACCAAAAGGAAAGGAAAAGAGTTATAAGTATATGATTTACGCTGAAGAGATGGAAAATGAAGAAGACAGAGATATGGTTATGTTGCATTTAGTGAGAAGAAACAACAAGAGCTTTTATGACCTTGCTAAGATTTACAAATCTGACAGAAACTGGTTCTATCGTGAAAACTTACCGATTTCAATGACACCGAATGAGCAAATAAAGGAAATTGTCAAAAATACTCTTCCTCAAACACACTATGACATCAAAGGTTGCACAATACTTACCTTCAAAGAAGACTTACCATTACTGAAGGAAAAAATAACAGAATATTTCGACAACTTCAAAGAGGAAGAATGAAGTCACGACAACATTAACGAAGAAGTCACGACAACATTAACGAAGAGAAAACGGGTGACATCTCACCTAGCCGCGTTGCGGCTCTGACCCTTTGGGTCTCTTCACCAAAAATATATTTTTGCTTAAATGACGTCAGGGTCAATTTCTTCAACCATTTCACTTCCTTCGTCAATGTCAATAGAAGCTTCTTCAACCTTTGGTAAGAACTTTTGTATAACATCTTTGTTCGTTATTGTTTTCAGAGATGAAGGATAATATTTCACATTTGTTTCACCCTTCTTATATTCTTTCTGTTCGGAAAGATTTAAAGCAATACTGAAGAAGTCAATGTTAGAGTTCTTTATGACAGTATAATGAGTATCTTTGACATTCACGAAGAAACTCTTTTGTTTCAAAACTACTGCTAACTCTTGTGAAGTATAACGTTTGCGGTCAATGACGATAGCTAATGGTCTGACATACTGACCAAACTTAGATTCTTTCACAAACTTCTTGTTAAAGATAACATTAACGTTTGAAGCATTATTGAACTCATTCTTGATGGCAGTAGCGAGAGCATTGTATGAAAAGAACTTGCAATCTTGCATGTGTTTCATTAAAATAAAAATATTAAATTATTTTGAAAAATAACTTAAAAAAATCTAATCTAATTTTTCAAAAAATATTTTTTTATTTCCTACTAAAGATGTATCGGAAGTTGTCTAAGTTAGAACACTCGGAAATAAAACAACTTCTTACAGAAGCTAATATAGATGTTGCAAAGCATTACGCAACAAACAAAAAAGCACTCGCTGACATCCTCAATGACTATAATGGTGCAATAACTTATGATAGAATTCATAGTTCATAAAGCCGCAACGCGGCGAGGACGAAGTCCATGCAAGAGATTTCCTTTAAATGACATTGCTATTGACTTATATCATAGACGTTCATACCTCATGAAGTAAGAAGAGAAATGTTTGACATAACAAATGCGAATTGGTCATACTCGTAAGCTCTTTCTCATGATGTTCGTCAAGAGATGTTTGACATAACAAATGCAAACGTTGGTGAAACACGAAAGAGAGATGACACACTGAAACAACAGAGAAGAGAGATGTTTAAAAGTGCTATAGAACAAGTTCGCAAAGCTAACGATGTCATTCGTTCCATTGACGACAAACCAAAAGAAGGTGAGAGATGTTAAGAGAAAGATGAAGAGAATAGGAAAGAAATGTGAAGTCAGGCAATAGACTCATTGACTTTAACATCGAAGCTTTAGATGAACCAAACAGAGACTACTTACACAAACATTTCGTAAGTTTTCATGAGACTCTTAGAGAAAATTAAAATAAACTCACAACAGAGATGGATGGTATGTTATAAACTTGGTGGAAAGTATGAATGTTCTACGTTAAACCTCAATAATATTGGAACATTACTACATCAGCTCTTGAAGGAGAACTTTATATCAGAGATAGAAGCAAATGCCGCAGGTATTGTTGAAATGCACTATGACTTCTTCTTGACAAACATAAAGAATCTTACGAAATAAAGATGTATGATTTAACAGAATATGAAGCTTAACGATGTCAGATGTAAAGAAAGGCAAACCAAAAAAGAGACCATATAGAGATGAAAGCACACTGACAGAAAAAACAGAAAAGATTATGAACAGACTTAAACAAACAGAGATAAACAGATATAGATACTTCTGGAATAAATCCTTGGTGAAAAGAAGTTTTATAAGAAGAGAAGCGGTCAGTTCTGGAAGTATCTTTGCACATTACCTATAAATCTTGAACGCTACCAAATCTTCAATGAACTGAACAAAAGAACTGCAACACTTATGACAGAGGACAATTGTTTCGTTTATGCTTGCATTCAGCTGGAGTAAATGAAGAAACTATTGACCACATGAGAGAAGTCATTCGTGTTAGAGACTTTCCTCAAAGTAAAGTACAAGAAATTTCTGACGCAACAGGTATATCATTTAATGTTACCATTGGTTACTTCAATGACTCAAGACATAATGAAATAAAGAGATATATACCAAAAGAATGTGAAACTGTTCGAACTATTGACTTACTTCTTGTTGAAGACCACTACATGCTAAACGAAAGACTTCCAATGACAACATACTTCATTCGCAACTATATAAATCTGAAGGAGTGTGGTGGAATGAACATTGAGAAACAGATGAAGATTTATACAAAGAGAGAAGATAAATATGTAGTTCGTTATGATAGAACAACACCGTTATGGATGTTATGAAAACATTGTGGGAGTGCAAATATTTCGAACCTATTCTTATGGAGAACTTTCACATATACTACTGACTTATAAACAGAACCTTGCACCATTTAAAGATTTGACATATGCTCCAAAGTATTGTGTACAACTGAAGAAGAAAGCAGAGTCAAAAGAAGTAAAAAAGCTAAATGTAAATTCATACCTGAGCACGTTTTCTTGCTGACTTTGAGTGTAGCACAGATGGCTTTCATAAAGCTTTAACATCTGTTATGACAGTGAAGATGGTTCAGTTAGTGAAAGCATTTGGGGTCAAAACTGTGCAACAGAATTTTTGGAAAGACTTCCTGACAAGAGTTTAATATATTTCCATAACCTCAGTTATGACATAAACTTCATCTTAAGACACATGACAGAAGTGAAAGGAACTCCCATCATTAAAGGTTCACGAACAATGCAAATAACTGTTTATATAAAGGACGGGCAATTATTATAAAAGACTC